TTGCGACATGAATATCTTTCTAGATTTCGAAGCACACACTGATGTCGCCTTGCAACTACTTTGAGAAAGAAGCAATGTTTTAATATTCTACTGAGGCGACTGGAGATGCAAGCAATGAATAAATAATACGATATCCTGTAAGCTACTTTCCAGGAGAAGAGCATTGCCTTAAAATCAAAGATGTAAGCTAAGAGCGAAAGTTGTGAAAGGAGGCAAATAAATGTTGCAGTTTTGCTTAGCAGATCACTTAAAATTCACCAGACAAACAGATAAAGTGGGTCATCGTTAAAAGGATGATAAATAAGTTAACTAAATGACTAAGTTTGGCATTGGCTACCAGCCAGCATTTGAAACGCAGTTACCGATATAACTCACCTTTTTGTGGTGCCGATGCTTCCGCTTTCGGTGCTTTTCTTTCCCATTCTTTCCTTCTGAATCACTACTACTACTGCTGCTGCTAACTTCGCTGCTGTTGGTTGTGGAAGTGCTACTCTGTCGTCCCGCCTTTTTCGTCTTCTCAGCTTCTCTAGCACGCTTCCTCTGATGCCGTTCCAAAAGGCTTTCATCTCGATGGTGCTTCTTCTAAAACAAGGAATAGCAGGAGTTAAATAAACTTTCCAAGGCTGTTATTTGCTGCAACTTTTCCAAATAAGGAACAAATGTGATTGATGATAAGCAGAGGTGATGTTGAAATTACGTTGTATGCGTTTGCGACAGCCATCATCTTTTCATCCCTAGCGGAGACAACGTCCTGCAGCATCTTGTGGTGTACGTCCGGTTTGGGAACCTACAACGAGAAGTGTCCTTCTTTCGTAATACTATGACTATACCGCAACAGCGTCATCGTGCCTACTCTTCTTAAAAAGTGTTTTGAGACTGGAATGCTATGGTGGTCTTTCATTTACGATATTTATCCAGTTTCAGTGTTGTGTAAGCATTGAAACTGAACAGCACCACTAAGAAGCAAAACAATATGAAGAAATCCCAACATGGAAGCTTTCAAGTGACCCAACGGAGTCCTAGCAATCCTGTTCAGGTCATTGGACTACGATACACTCTGTAAGCAGAAAATTGAAATTCGTGATTCACCCTTCGAAAAGGCTTATGATGGATTTAACACCTGTCAGGTGGAGACTTTAAAATAGCCGTTGCCTACAATATCGACCATCAGAAAGGCAGACCTCCAAATGCCGAAGCGAAATCAAATTCCTCTTACAGACCCCAACTTCCCAGTATAGTTCTCAAGTGAGTTTTCAAATGGCCACCGCGATAAACCAACACTCAACCAACTTATCTCCGTGTCACTCACATTGGCAGTAACAGTGGTGGCAGAAGAGTGGGATGACTGACCTTCACCCACTGTAAACCACGAAGTGTCCACGGAAGAGGCAGAGGGGGGATTCTGTCGGAATTTCCGCGGTTTCAGCATCGCTCTGGTATCTGTTGAGACAGGTAGATAGTCGGTCATCCAGGTGTCGCGCTCCAAACCGTCACGAGAAAGCGGGTTAACACATGATGATGTCTTGAACAGAAATAAATGATGCAGAAGAGAAAAGAAAACAACATTTTGCAAGCTAAATAGACACCTACAGCATCTCGTGACAGGTCAGAAGTGTGACGTAGCTCCTCGACAATCTCGTTACCAGGTAGGAGGGGTCCAATGGCACCTAAATCAACAACCGCTGTCTCATCTCCCGCCTCCGCCGCCGCTGTGGCCATCCGTGCGCGCATTATATGCTCTGGCAGTGCTGGTCCGATGCCTCCGCTAGGTGCCATGGCATCTGGCGCCAGTTGAGGTCCGATGCGTCTTATCTCTGTTTCTTGTTCTGCAACATCTGCCTCTGCAGTGCTAGGAGAGTCACGATTTGTGGTCGCCTTATTCTGGAAGCATAAAAGTCGCAAAGGTTTGCAGATGTTTCCAACCAGTTAAGCATCCCAGAAGTCCATTTTAGAGGAAATTGGATATAAGGCAAGAATAAAAAATACTGCACATTGCCACAGAGGTTCCTACTCAAATTTGCTTTTGCTTCCCATAATTTATTTCGACGAGTTAGAAAATCAAAGAACCTGCGTATGCCAATCACCTTGTAGAGGCCATAAGCATTGCGGAGAACACAGCAGTGGGGCAAATAGCTTCTGAATGCATTTTCTTCAATATGATCATCAAAGATGCATCAACACTATCGCAAAGAACTTATTGTAGTGATTGACTTTCGCGTTTTCATCAACTGTCCTGGAAACATTGCCCTACCGATATAACAGAGCAAACAGAGGATGAATGGAAGAGTGGTCACTGAATCGATTGAAGACTTTAAAAATCGAGGTCTCTCTGGACAAGTTGAACTAGATGGGAGCATCATCGCCATCACGACCAATACCAAATCAGTCAAAAAACCAAAGCGAGAATTGAATTGATGGGTTCCAGAAGACTTAGTGCATGAGCCTCAGAGGAGAGAATTGCCTTGAACCCTTTATGTCCTCGTTACCCCTATTAAACCACAATAAATAAGCTCAAACAAAAAACGGGGAGAGCAAGCAGCGACTCCAACATAAATGAGACGTCAGACCTTCAGAAATCTGTATGCAGTGAAAACGACAACAACAAATAAGCCAAAGCTATTAAATACTAGTTTAATGATTTTAATAAAAAAGCGTAACAATGAGGTCCAGTTACACTGCTAAAAGGCTAATTTGTTTTCGTACCACAGTATATCACCAATGAAGCACAATAATGACAGCAAATGAAAACTGTGTGCACAAAATGGAGAGATGTCTGGTGTATAAAATCCACTTTTTTTCAAAAAAGGAGAGCTGCGATACCGCTACTTTAGCACCAATAGTAGCACATGAACTGCCAACGACAACATTACTGAAACTGGAAGAAGTAGAAGTGTCTTCAAGTTATGAAATTAAAAGGTGTAGGTAATCATGCTCAAGAAAAAAATAATAATAAGGCGCAGGCCGAAAATCAGGGAACAAAATCGAATACTTTTAGCAAGTGCTTAAAGGTCGGCTTCTTCCCTATATGAGGAAAGATGAAAGCATACAGTAACCACAGGTAAACAAGAAGCAGAATTCGCCAATGCAAATAAGTTATTAGTAATATATATTTGCATCTCAAGATAAAAATAAGAAGTAACCAATATCATTTAACGTATCCAGAAGGAGTGGGTGGGAATGAATACAAGGAGAACCAAAGTAATGTAGCAAGGAAAACCGAGAGAAGACCCCCATGTTCTTTCAGCTGATCAAGTGGCATAGAGGCAGGCGTTCACGACTCCTTGCCGTCGTGACGAAGAGGTACTCCGAGAGGTCGGAGAACGCGTCGACGTAGACGCAGATAGACAAAGAGGATGAGGAGAAGGCCAATAGCGTAGTTCACACCCATTGTCAATTCCGTTGGCAAGTGACATCGTCGGACTGCATGGCCGTTCCTTGACGCATGTAACTAAAAGACCGATAAGCCCCTAGGATGTGCAACCGCAGATAATCACGAATCCATAGCCAATGAAAAGCTATCAACCCTAAAATCTGGACAATAAAAGACATGTGGTAATGCGACGTTGAATGAAACGTCAGAACTTGAGAGCATACATGTTCTAATGCTAACAAATTCTTACGTTTCAAGGCTAGTTTCAAGTACCACTGAACTGATGAGATGGGTGGATAATGCGACAGGGGAAATACGCTGGAAAATAGGCGAGATTTCTACTCTCAGAACCAAGCTCGAACCTTAAAGCGGCGAGAGCCCTACGGCGGCTTAAATGTCGCTAGCAGATGTTGCAGGCAGATGTGAAAAAATAACCACAAAGTTTTGAAATAGTAACAGATTTGATACCAAATGTTAAGCAGCAAAACATGAAATAAATGCTAAACCAAGGGCATTGAGCCACTCAGAAAAAATTCAGCTGATTAGAATAACATAGTTCCAATGAATTTAACTGGTTTTACAACTGACCAAATTAACCGACATCGGTTTAACATAAGCTGCAAATAAGTCATTATTCATGAATGCAAGCCATCTATTCAGTCGAATGGTTGCTCAAAGGACAGTCCGAGGTTGTTTGTCATTATGACGTCAAGTGGTCGTAGTTTTCAAAAGCAAAACCTTCAAGACTCATTCGTACAAATAGCGAGTAAGGTAAAAGTAAAGTAGTAGCTAACATGGTTAAATCACGAGTCATCTGCAATGTCGAAGATGTCGGTCTTCCAGCCTCGCTGCATGTGATTGACTACTTTTATGGAAAACCTGTGAAAGGCCGAAAGTATGCAAAAATTAGCTTGCATGAAGATATGTTACTTTCACTTTTACCTCACATGTTTGATGGATCAAATACGTCCACGAACTACAGCAACCCTTTTAAATAAGAGTAATTGACTTACGAGAATGAATCCAGGGGTTTTAGAAACACGGTAGGAGAAGGGAGGGAGAGTCCACTCCTCCATCCGCCACGATCCGCCTGTTCGGGTGCCAACAGTATGGTTGCGGTGGCAGTAGTAGTGCGTGTGGCCGCCAAATGCCAAATTTGGTCGGACCGCGAAGAAGAGCTGTCGAGGGAGATGGTGATGACCAACCTATGCTTTGTTTGGCAAGATCAGCGGCAAGTTAAATGTCCCTTACCGATGTTTTTTAGGTCTTGTGCATCGTGAATTTACTTCTGTTGGAACAACTTGATGCTTAGATGCTCATAAAATCTGTTAAACACAACAATTTAGAAATTAGAACTCAACGAATTCCCACAAATGTTAAAGAACTTGACCACTTTCAATTGTGATACAAATGAGTTCTACCAGATTAAAAGTACGGCAGCCGGTTCGGATGAATAAACGGAAGGGAGATTACCGTTTAAAATAGTAATCGCTGAAATCCTCAGCAAAGCAGAATGTATTTACCAGAATAAGGAAAACCAGTAACTCCAGCATTTTATCATCGTGGCTATCCAAGGTATGCGCCGCCAAACCTTCTTGATTTAGTTTTAATCGCTCACTACACAAAATGACACCACCTTCGCTAGTTTAATAAAAGTGACCATATTGTGCTAAATGAAGGGAGAAAAGACAAACCTATTGAAATTCGTTTAAAGTTCGAGGCACTCCTAGTTTCGCACTTCCCATAACGAATAGAATGCTACGTTGAGCTTTAAAATGGGCAGATGACGGGGTTAAATGAGGCAAGACTGACTCAATAACGCCATACAGACCAGGTCAAATAATTGGCATCAAACCCAAACAAAGTTGCAAAGTTATAAGCTTGAATGACTGCTCAGTCAGGCTCTCAGAGGATAGATAATGAATGAATCCATCAAGAAATAACAGACTAAGATGGAAGACAAACTTGTTTGGTTGCCGAATCGGAGAGGCAGTCGAAGTCACTTTTGTAGGACGTGTGACGTTCCACCTCGGGCATGGAGTCACGTAGGCCAGCCTCACAAACCGTCTCGTCTGATCGGTAGAGGGGAAAGTGTTGGATGAGGATTGGATGTGAGTAGTCACCGGGATGAATCACTACAATGCATGAATAATGAGAAAACAGGAATGTCCACCTATGGTCTTCATAAAGAACCTTCTTCCAAATGGCAAGAGGAATGCCTGATTTTCGTGGCTTTAGAAGACTGCTTTTAGCAAAAATAGCAATGCTATTGAAAAAAAAATACGGAGAATCTGAAGTCGTATAACAACGACACGAATCAATTCGAAAAAGCGTGACGAGCTACCTTTGGTAAAATCAAAGCCTACCGCTAAAAACAAAATTGATAAATAGAGGTGGAAGTAGGGAATAAAAATAGGATATACCATCACTGCCAGGCTCTGTGATGGCCTCAAAGTCGTCCTGGCAAGATTGCAGGGCGAGTTCGCCGCGCAGACACTGGAGACGCTTGGTCAACAATTGGAGCTCCTCTCCAGCGCGTCGACAGAAGCGGCAACTGTCGTCGCTTAGAGCCATGCTATTAAGAAGGACGAAGAGAAGGCCCCGATACGCCCACAACTTCACCCCACCTCCAACTCCTTCTGCGCCACCACTATCGAACCAATCTCTAGACCCAGAGTTGTGATGGCGAAATGCACGATTGAAGCGTGCGTACGTATAAGGGTGCAATCTAAATAAAACAGAAATGCGATTTCGAGTGCGAGTGGCATTATGCTTCTCGTACAACCCATCGAAACCTGTGTAATACAACAACAACATTATCAACATTTTACTAACTTATGCGAGAATTTGATTCGACTAATGTACAACGCTCTTCCTGGCATTCTGGAATAACAACATCAAGTTTGAACATTCTGTTATTGGCTCACAGACCAGCCTCCACCACAGTGAAGTGGAGAACCTCACACAGCCCACCAGGGTTTCCAGTTCTAGATGTCCTATAACGAATCTCAAAATATGGCAACAAATAATCGGTGATCTTACATACTCTACCCCTTGAAGCAACATGACTTGAAGTAATTGCTACCATGATGAGCAAAAAAAGTCGGGTTCGGGTAAAATAGTGGATGCAAATGTTTACAAAAACCAAAATTTTGTGTCGACAGAGGGGTTCCATGGTCTAATTGTTGCAACATTGAGTAAACTGGTAGTCACTACAGGGCATTCGCTACAGGAATCACAAAGACGCTAGGTGATTACGCAAGACGCACCTTGTGCTCCTATTGTTTTGCACTTATCCAAGCTTTTAGGAAAACATAACAGTGAGAATGATCTATTTGCACATCAATCGTGCTTAAAATAAACCTCTTCCATAGCTAAAATGCCTTCTAAAGTTTCTAAGGTTAGCTTGCACAATGGATTCAAATTAACAAAATAGATGCATGTGGAGAAATCGCTTTACTTGATCTTATGCACGCGCATAAACCGTTCTTGCGGACAGCTGCGATACGAACACAAGGTCAAGCTAGTTTTTTTCCTAAGAGCTTGGCCTGCCTATTGCCAAACATGCTCTGAGCATTTTCAAGAAATAAGGATAGATGAACGAGAAAGGAAGATGTCAATGGAAAGATTAACATAGCGTTAATAACGACCGGGCATCAACTTACCTGTGATGAAAGCCAATATCGTGATTGCCAGGAATTACTTTGAAGACGGTCGTAGATCCCACATCAAAGATGTTCTGCGCTATCTTCACGTCAGCTTCAAAAGCATCTTCAGATTCAAAGAAACCATAATCCAAAAGATCTCCAAGGTGGAGCACTACGTCGGGATGGTAGAGGCTCATAGCTGTCTTGAAAGCGCGCTTCAAAAGCCAGTGTCTAAACCCCATTAAATCAAAGAAACAGGCTTCATTGCACAGGAAGACCAAATAGTATCGCTCCCAAATGGTAGATGTAAGCAGATATGAGACTAGAGTGATTCAGCAGTAATCACCTTCGAGTTTTATCAATCCACTGATGGCGACTTCCAATATGCGTATCCGAAATGAGGAGGATCTTAACGGACTTCAAATTATCACCAGAATAAATGAATTTATCGGCATTTTTTTCTGATATCTGAGGCCATGTACACTGAAGGAGACTCATGTAAAAAAGCAGGAATTCGGTCCAAACTACGAGGAAGAAAAAGAGACCAAAAACGACCCAAGTCGCATTTTTGAAGATCATTATTTCCTTAGAAGTATGCTCTTTCAGCCTAAAAACAAATGAATCCAATTGCACTGATAAGCTCTTTGAAAAATTACAGATGAAAAAATAAGGAGGAGCGAAACTTTATTGATGGAAAACATGAAAATACATAATTAATTGGCCTTCGAGTGATATCTCTCGTGTAATCTTGTCACGTCCACAGCCCCAACGAAGGTCCATCCTTCTGGTCCAATGTGATAGACTAAATTTAAAGAGTGACCGAAAACCAACTGTTACACTTACGATTATTTATCCCACCAGAAGCTGGATCTCGGTAAGTGGCGTGATAAATGGCTTTGCGACCGAGATCGATAGCCTCTTGATCGGTCATATCGTATCTATGCTCCCTGTCAAGAATAGCATAAGCATGAGGACTTCCAGATCCGGTTGAAAAGTAGTCACCAGTCAAACGCGTCCCATCATTGTCGACGTAATACAAGCCAGGCCCTAACTTGTCGTATCCAACGATAAGGGACCCAAGACTAAGTCCATAACCTTTGTAATTGTACAGCATGTTTGAAAGGAGTTTTGAAGCGGCTGCAACTGAAATGCGCTCTTTGTTGCGCAATTCAAATAATCTTAAGCAGGATACTTGTCGTATGAAGATGCCATACCTGCACTGCTTCGAAAGCACACGCTCCCAATATGCGCAGTCAGCAGCACCACCTGCCATAGTTCCCAAAAGATATTTATTTATCCTCAGGACCTTGTGTATCTGCGGTGACGCTAAGAGGGAATATAAGGAAGACTGTGTTTACTAATATAAGAGCCGGCTGAAGCCCGAGAATCAACTGAAACAATGATTCCAGATTGATACTTAAATGCTAATGTAGTTGTACCGTGAGTGAACCGAATCCTCAAGTCTCTGGAAACAATCCCGTCGTCAACCGGTTTTAGAAATCCCTGAAAAAATAAGCGTCCATGCAATAGCAAACACCTTAAGAACGGGTTCTACTGGGATGGACAATTCCTCATTGTGTTCCAATGATTGTGGAGCAAGGACAGCAGAACCGGTATCAAAGAATGACAAGCCCTCAGGGAACTTGACGAACTCCGCGAGCGCCATAGGTTAAGCAATATTTTTGTTTCTAGCGCCTGATTAAACGATTTCTACTAACACTGGCGAATTTAGTAACTGCGTCACTAAGCCATACATTTTGCTCTATTACATTATCTAGCTACTTTATAGCATGCAAAATTTTTCGAAGTTTATGGTGGAACAATTTTCGCCAATGTAATAAAAGTCCGTTTTAAGCAGTTTTGTCTTGTCGCTTGGTTTAAGACAGCACGATGTACAATGTAGCGTTAGAATGCAAAATGTTGTTCATTAGCATAGTTTCTGTCCTATGTAACTGGTTATCAAAGAAGTAGCAACATTTTAATCGAAGCGCTACCCGGTTAAACCTCGTAATTTCTGCACAGCCTGCCCGCCCTCAGGTCCGAAGCTGGGACTTCAGAGAAGAATTACTTGGGGAAGTTTTGCTAGCCTTCGTGTACAGAACGAAAGGAACTAACGAAGGGTGAGGTGGGTGATAACTGATGAAGAGATGTCAACTCGGTGAACGTTTCTTCACACTCCTTACGAACTACGTTGGTATTATAAAAGATTTCATGCCTCTCCCTATAAAGACTAACGTAAACACCGTTAGACTTTGTTCATACGACCACTTGGCCTTTGACTGTCATTTTAGGATTTATCTGGTCCCTGTACACGTGGGCTGGCCTTCGTGCCATGCTCACGTCTAGTTCCTTCGTCCTCCTTGAACTACATGTATTCAGCTTCACTTACTGCCTTCTTCTACCGAGTAGTAAGTTTCGGGACGCTGCAAACACACTAAGATATATTATAGTCCCGTATGGTATTCTGATATTTTGCTTGACTTCTACTAAGCCAAGGGCTTCCTTCACCTTGACATGCGGCATTAGTGCTAGTACTTCACACCGCGTTAATGGCTTATATACTGCTAGAAATATATGTTGATTCCTAGCATTTTGACCTTCAAACGCTAGATTTTCTTTTTAGACAATTGTCTCATAATATTCCAAAAGAGATGGGGTTTCACCTTGGCCCAAAGAAAAAAATGGCAACAGAAAACCATAGTCGCCCAGTCACATAGGTGGTCAAAGAGGCGAAGTATTAATGATAGTACATTGCTTCATCAGTTTAAATAAATTTTTAACAAGAGGAGGAATGTAATAACTTATTTATGCGAACATCTGATGTTTGGCGGTGACTGGTATTCGTCTTCCCCTGTATGCGCGCGCTGGCTTTTAGGCCAAACGAAGTCTTCAAGCCCTCCCTTTCCGCCTAGATTAAATGCATTTTGTCCAACTTAGCACCTCCTTATACCCAGCAGAAGTCTTGATCAGATACAGAAGGAAGTCGGATGTAGCGTCCCGTGACTTTCCCTAAAATAATATAAAGCATAGAGCTTAGCTGACTGCTTGTACTTAGACAAAGTTGGGGTTTGGGCATAAAGGAGGTAAAAGGATGGACCTCTCCTTTACCTCCAGCTACACAGGCTGCTGCCTAAATCAAGCGTTCTATAGCTCCTCCCATTTTGACGACTTTGGCACTCCCGTCGATAAACCTTAGGCACAAGCCATTACATCGTTTTCGGCGCTGCCAAATACATTCATGGTCTAGCTGCACCACTCATAAGTTCTAATGAGATTGGGAGAATATATGTGGTCTTCTCGATAGAGGACTTTGTTGACCATCAATTGTGTCCAGGGTAGAGCTTTACAACATTGGTCTAAAACACATTCATGTTGGGGTTTACAGGATATAATACATTTGTGTGGAGGAGGTTTACTGTAATATCATTACTGACATTTACAAGCGATAACTCTACTTGTTAGTAGCTTGCTAGTGGGATACGGAAATGTGGTAGAAAGCAGACGCAGTCATCTTTAGCAGTTTTCTTCTGTTGTAGAGAAATTAGAGACTCTCTGATCAATGCTTGCGCTGCTCATTCAAAGTGAAGTAGAATAAAAGTCGGATTCATTTTCTGCTGCTACCAGCGCAATAATAATCCAAGGCTTAAGGATCGACACACAACGCACTCCCATTAGCCCCAGTAAAAGCGATTAGTGGACCTTATCTCGACCTTAATGGATTATCAACAGAGTTAGTGGACGCCTTTGGTGAATTCGTTCGAGTCATTTAGGAGTTGGCGATGGCCCGTATCTACTCACTCACAACAAATACTAACCAGCTGGAACACCTAAACGACCAAAATCTTTGTTTTTGTGATTTCAAACATCCTCCCTCTTCCCTTCATGGGAGCAAATGTAATTCAGAATCACCGATGAATGCATAAATTAATAGAATTGCCAACATCAAAAATGAGCACAATGCAGTCCTTTGGTTCTGCTAAATTACAGCAAGCAGCGTAGCTGACCGTGGTTAATCCGATTGTCATGAACCAACATTCACTGCGTCTTTAGAGCTAATGCCTTCATGGAAGGAGAACTAAATAATGTGTGTTAAGAATTTTGGACACTGTTGATACTATTTTTTGGAATTTCTGTTTGAGTGAAAAGTAAAACTCCAGTCGGAACAGTCCTTATGCCACTTGATCGGGTCTACCTTTTAAGGCGAAGTGCTCTCACATCATCGTCCAGCAGCACTCATCATCTCCGGACTTAAATAAACCGCTATAGGACTAAGCATCTTTGCAGCATGATCCATCATTCAAGCCTATCGGAAAGCTTTGTTCAGCAGATGGATAAACACTGAGATGAGGCTCGGAAAATGAAGGCTGAAATGGTTTAATTCTGAGGCTTTTCACTGACTATTCTCTCGTTTTCAGCAGCTCAGGACGTTCGACACCAGGGTCGAGGATCACACATTGAAATTCATTCAAAGTGACGAATAGGTGTATCTAAGTTCTCTGATTTTGATAGATTCACAGATGTCTCCTGCGTTCCACTTGTCAAATTCCAGTGTCACAAAAGTTCCATAAAGTAGGTTGACCTATCGGAGTGAAGATTTTTTTCTCTTTCCAATGCTGACCAACCGCCAAGCCAAGTCAACTTATTGGAATCGTAATCCTTTTTGAACCTCTTAGCGTATCGCTGGTAACACCATTACTACCGTTTTGGAAGCAATTAGATCTACCACAACCTTGCTCGTCAGCGCACGCTAATGAAAACCTTTGTAGTTGGGACTGTGGGCAAGGCGCTCCTTGGCTTATCTTGTCCTGCCTCCACTGCACCCTTCACCATGCAGTCAGGTAAATGAAACTCCGGAAGATTCGTGTCAGGAATGATTATCTTTTCCGTCGATATGGCAACTGCCTCGAGTCGCCCCAAAAGACTTAGAAGGCGTCAATCGAAAGAATGGAAGACCACGAGAATAAACGAGTGACAATAACAACCAGATGCTGATGGGATTCAGAGAGACAAATGAATTCATGAATTTAATTTGCACATCCAAGATCTTTGTCGAAGTATTATCTGTTAAGTAGCGCATAACTTGCGAGGGAAAATAACAGAGTAGACAAGAGGATCGTCACAATTGTGCGAAAATTGCTCCAAGTTAGAACTTCACCTCGGACTTAGCAGCGAAGCACATTTTTGCAAGCAGAAGGGTCCAAAGCACTCAGCAATATTATGCACAAAATCTATGATAAATTGCAGACTTCCAACAGCTTAGACTTGCCGAATTCTAGAGAACTGGATGATTCCAACAAGAGGCGCATGAATAAACTGGAAATTTTGATTGAGTAAAGAATACTTAGACACAGAAAATGAGGCGAGGTCAAATATTCCCCGGTCCTTAGCGGATCACGTTTCACCCTTGTTAGTTTAGCTGACTCTTGAAGCTTCGACTTTGATCTTCTGCTGGGCGACACTGCCTCTGGAGCATGATGGATGGCGACCGACGTTGGAGATTGACCAGGGAGAGTCAGGGCTGACGCTCAAAAGGGTAGAAAGACTGTAATACTTTGTTTTACCCTTGGTATTGATTTGGAGAGAATTCATGCCTCCGTCTACACTTACGCTAAGCTCCACGACGTCCTCACCGTGGCCGTAGATGCCCCCTCAGCTGTCCTGTCCGTCGACAGTGTGTACTCCTCCTTCGTCGCCTTTCGCCTGCCACCATGATCGCATATGCTGACGGCGAACTCACTTTTCCTTGAGAAATGACAAAACGGATTCTGCATCAAAGACGAACAACTACAGGCTGTTTTCTTCCTCCTTTCAAGCCAAATTTTCATAACACTTAAATTACTTTTTTAGGGTCTCCTATGAATTTCGAGTACCGCGTAGAAGACTGCCCCCTACGATTTATGGTAGTAAATTAGACACGTTTCCCTTAAAAACGATTACGAAAAGCGACGCCAACCACGAACACGAAATCACTGCCACTTCCTGCACGCTCTAGTACGACAACCTTTGGAGGGGCGCCACTACCACCCAAGAAACAGTCCATCTCTCGTCAATGAACTGAGCAAAGTGAAGACTGATCAAACAACAAAGTGGCACTTGGCTCGAAGGGCTTGAGGACATGCTAGGCAAGTGCATTTTTACAACTCCCATCCCCTTCATCGCTCACAGACGATCCTCTCTCCGGATCATCATCTCCATACACAGGGAGTGCGACACATTCGAAACCTCTTCCGATGAAGTGAAAAACTAGAGCAGACCGTATCCCTTAGTACTTTGGAAGCGTACTACTTAAGGGAGGAGGGAGAAAGGATATAGATATCCTATTTTACACAGTAACGAGTGAAAATATAACACAAGAAACTCTTCAATCTCTGTTTTACGACATCCACCTAACCCGACTTGAAGAGCAGAATGGCCACCTGTCCAGCGTAGAAGTAGATAAAATGCTTCGTCTCATGGGTGACATAGCTGCCAAAATTTCTTCCAACAACACAGTGCCAAGTGGGGCTGTGACGTTTGTCAAACTAAATGAAGGGTGATGATGGTGAAATAATCTGGTGCAAAAAGCCTACCTCCTTCTTAATATACGCTGCTATGTCCTTCTCAATGTTGAACTTCTCAAACGCATGAGTTGCTACATCAATGGCATCCTGTTGCATCTCTTCGGACATGTCGACATTCTTTACCACGGCTTTTCTGGTTCCGTCACTCATGCTTGCGCAATAACAGATAGAAGAGGAGCGGACGGGAGTGAAGTGCTAGGCGTCTCTTGCGTGATGTGATTCAAATTTTCCGATAGCCAGCGCCTACCAGTGGCTTGGCCTCATTCCAGCGTTGATTGGTTTCCCACAGTAGCCTGGTTGCAGTGGCCTGGCCGCACAAACGCGGGCTTGAGGACAAGCTACTGTGACACGCCTCAGCACTCATCGCAGCGCATACACACGAGTACTTCGGCCGCCTTTGACTCGCTCAGGACTCACATACGCCCACTAGTTGCACTCTAGATGCCCAAGTATCAGCAAACTCGATGCAGTAAAGGTCTTGTAAATGGAACAACGCACCATTCGACTCTGGTGGTCCTCAAAATTTCCTAAGATGCCTTTCAATACCGAGGCATTGATAAGTGTCCAAATGCAACAATCGTTCGTCTGTGCTCTGTAGATTGAGATAAGTGTTGGGGAATAGCAGACATTAATTCATCATATTGATACTAGGGCATTGTAATACTGCGTTTGTTTGACTGTCAGCATGAGGGATCGGTGTATTGCTTCTGCCAAGTAGACTGGCCTTCGGACCACGCCAAGCTACCCTATCTCTTCCATTTCAGTTTGAATACATGTATTCACCCAATTATTATGCTTTCCAATATGCAATCGGAGGTCTCGGAAAACTGCATTGGTGATAACGAGGTGCTGCCCCTATTTCGGAACAACTTCCTTCTTGATTCGCACTGTTCGAGACAAACTTTGCGGTGCGAATGAAGTGTGCACGCTTCGAGTGGGACATTCTATCATTTCCTTCTTTGGCGTTTACTCCATTCTCATGTTCCACAAACGATATGTTAACAACCGAAGCGACATATTCGGCATCAATTTGGGCGTTACCATTCGTATCTGCTTATGTACGTCGAAAATGGGGCATTGCACATGTAACGTCTTGCCTATGCGACTGCCCGTACGACTGGTGTTCACTTTGGTAATTATCCTTCTCTAGGCTGCGTGGACTTACCTCCAGGTCAAGCTGAAGCTCAACTTCCTCTTCTCCCTGAATGCAGTTATTCAACACGATACTGGTGGCAGCTGAAAGCACATTCGGTTTTGTTACGTCTTCTATTCAGGATTCCACCGTTTGGGGCAAACTTCAACGGCCTGAATGAAGAACATATGTGTCGGACGGGAAAATACCTACATCGACTACAGCAGAAGAACTGCTAAGGCCACCTGCTTATGGCATTCACCCAATCCTCGTGTTCCACTTGCATTGCAGGGAACCATAAAACCATTTTGACTTTACAGCGTGAAAATTAGTTCATAGAACAACTGCTTACCCACGAGTGTTCCAGCATATAGTTCTGAACTCACATGATGGTGATCAATATACCCCACCTCTGAATCCTGTTACAAAGCCAAGCGAATCTCCAAAAAGGTTGAAGCCAATAATAATTATAAGCGACTTTGAGACTGATCATGTTGCGATGGCTGAAGAGAGAAGTTTACCAAAGAAAGGCTTTGTCACATTGTCAAATATGGTTTAGAGACTATATATTGTTTCGTTTATTTGTCTGTCTCCAGGAGTGGTGGCAATAATACCAGCTACTTTGCTTCTGTCGTGAAGGTTAGCTTTCAGGTCAGGTCGCAGCCCTACCTTCATGCTTTCTGCTCCAGTGCAAGTATTCAGCCATGTATAATGCCGTTGCAAACTTATCGAAAGCCTCAAGGCGTTGTAGTGTTCTATGCATCACGATAGTTGTAATTTCAGCGTCTTGAGACCCACACTGGGTGATTGAGGGCAATGAGTGGCGCTGATTAAATGTACTCCAGGCCAGCCCGCGCGTACAGAGAAATCTTAAAGTAACGGCCATACATCAAGTGTTAACGTTGAAAAGTACTAGAATATTGTTTTGTTCAAGTGACTTCTTGATGTCTGGCGCTTACTATAGTGTTGGTCTGGCCCTTGTACGCGCTGGCTGGCCTTCGGGCAAACCTCAGCCCTAATCCCTTTATCTACTTCAAGAATGTGTATATTCATTCCAACTCAATGCTTTTTATCTCATGAAAGTCTCGAAACTCTGTAACAGTGTTAATTGTGAAGCAAGTGGGTATGTTGCTAAGTAATTAAAAAGGTCATTACATGTTCATTAACTGCTGATGGAAGTGGAAAATTATTACTCACCTTTGCAAATATGCGAATCTTTAAAAGATAAAACAATTTGTTTTTTTTATTCAGTCCATCGCAGACACTTGATACTGGCAAAAGGTTGCCCTTAGAGTTGTAATGTGCTAACCTATTCGTGCAGAGGTAGTTCGTTTTAATTGGGAGCTTGTAGTAGCGCTCGTCTCGAGCTTTGTTCACGCTGCAATGGCGCCCCCTGCTCCCGCATCTAAGAAGACTGAGTCCAAATCATCCGCGCAGCCAACCTCTAAAAAGACTGTAGGTCCATTACTTTAGTATGTTTATCGTTTAGAAAGCGTTGGACTCTATCAACAGTCGATTGGCTCTGGTTTTCAAAAGTGGGAAGGCTGCCATTGGGTATCGTCACACACTTCGTACTCTCCGTCGCGGAGGTGCGAAGCTTATAATTATTGCGAGCAATACCCCTCCACTGAGGTAAGTGATGTTAGGATTTCGGAGCGGGTCGCTGAGATGAAATCCTAACCGCCCTATATGAACATGCTTGGATTTGCGTTTATTAGGACGAGTTTAATTTACTTGTAGAAAGGCAGAGATAGAATATTATGCTATGCTGTCAAAGACTGGCGTACATCACTACAATGGCACAAATCATGATCTGGGCACCGCTTGTGGTAAATACTTCCGCGTAAGTACTCTGGCCATCGAAGATCCTGGTGACTCGGATATCATTCGCTCTATGCCTAATGAGTCCTAGGTGAATTGCTTGTTAATAAATTTTGGTGAACATGTGATTCGTTCTCCTCTACAGCGCGTGGGCTGATCACGGCCGGAAAGGTTTTTAGCGATGAGTTTCGCACCGACTACGGGTTTAGTGCGTCCGCAGCGACCACTCTTACTTTCGGGTATTTTTATTTTTGGTCTGTCCACTAGGACAGAGTGCTCGGACTAGTCGATTTATCTTGGTGATGTCGAGCCTAACAAGTACGTTTGCGTCGATTTCTGCGAGAATGGGACACTCATTTATTAGCTTGTCTCATCCCACAAAGGCGAAGGAGCAACCAGAGAAGCAATAATGGAAAATCTAAATATACATTCCATTAGTCAGCTTGAAGGGACAAAGGGCGGGAAGAACGGTAAGAAAGAGGACAGGGAGAGGAGAGTGAGGAAGATGCAGGACGCACATGTAGCAGAATGAAATTAACACGATGGGAATTATCGTCGCTTCGAGTAACGAATTTGTCTCCGCCGCTGCTGGAAGGCCGCAGTCGCATTCGGGGGTGTTGGTGCTACTGCACTGAAGGGATTCGGCTGCGCCCTGCCTGCTCCACCGAAGACAGGAGCCGATTGTGTCTGACTGAAATTGAAGCTTCCAACGGGTTCGGTCACAGCGGCGCTGAAGTTAAAGCCTCCACTACTAGCGCTAGCGATATTTCCAGGAGCGGCAGCACCACTTCCGCCAAAGTTAAAAGTTTGAACATTGGTTCCGCCAAAAGGTGAGGGATTCACTGGTCCCCCACCAAAAGCAGAAGCTTGTAATTTTGGTGCCGAGAGACCGTCGGAAAAAGAGGAATCTCCGGTGCGCTTCGTGTGATCGTTGATAGAGAAGATGGAAGGTGAGCTTTTCGTGGATGACAGGGTGAGAGAAAAGCCAGACGAAGCGCTGGTGGTGGTGGAAGCTGTGGTAGGCTGAGCACCAAACTGGAAGACCCCAGTCCCGGATTTTGGAGCGAACGCTGTAGAAGAACCAGCGACAGGTGCTACACTTGATGAAAAATTGAAACCACTGAGACCACCGCCTCCAAGTGTTGGAGTAGTGGTGGTGACAGCGCTAGAGAAGTTGAAGGAGACTGGAGTGGTGGTTGTGGCGGTTATGATCGTGGAGGGAGAAGTAAAAGCGAAACCACTACCGACACTGGTGATCGAAGTTAAGTTTGATGAGTTCTGAAACTTAAATGGAGCTGTACCGAAAAGACCGTCCGAACTACCACCATTAGTGAGACCAGAAGTGTTGGTTTTGGGGAAAGGAAAGGAGGGAGTATTTGTAGCGGTTATAGTCGTAGGAGTGCTCTGCACACCAGGAAAACCAAAAGAAGGAATAGCGGTGTTGCCATTGGAAAATGCAGACTTCACTGGGAACGAGAAGGAAACATTAGATGTGGTAGTAGCGGCGGCGGCGGCGGTAGTAACAGTCGCATTAAAATTGACTACTGGCACGACAGCTTCTCCTATTGTTGCATGAGCCGTTGTTGATTTTGTCGAGAAATCGAATAAGGATGATGCCGTGGTAGTAGAAGTGGTTGGCACGAAGCTGAAAGCTGGAATCGATTTTGCCGGTGCCAAAACGGATGATGCTGTGGTAGCAGCAGGAGCAGTAAAGAAAGAGTTCGTTTTAATTGCATCCGGTTTGGCAGAAAAGTTGCATGCAGGCATAGTGAGCGCCGACGACGATACTAATGGCACCGTACCAGTTGTCGCATTGAGAGGCGGTGACCTTGCTGAGAAGTCGAACATAGGACTCGTTCCCAAAGTAGAATTGACAGAGGTAGGCGCGTTTTTTTTAAAAGTAAAATCCAATTGAGCTGTAGCCGCTACTGAAGATGCGGACGAAGCAGAGACGTTGCTCGTGGAGGTCACAGTTGAAGAGATGAAAATCCCACCGCTCGTGGTGGCGGCAGCAGCAGCTACTGTTGCAATGTCAGTAGTGGTGGTAATGGTAGAAGGGAAATTGAAGAGAGATGCAGCCGAGGAAGCTCGGGTGTCGTTTGCGGAACTAGTTGAAGGCGATAGGCTACTTGAAGTAGTAACCAATGGCGCGAATGGAGCCGTCGTTGACACTGCAGGCATGGATGATTTTGGGATGGTGGAGAAATCAAAATTCGGCATGGAAGATACGGTAGCGGAACTCCCTGAAGGAGTGGATTTCGCCAAGGTGAAAGTAAAACCCGACGCAGAAGATGTAACAGCAACACTAGCTGCAGAAGAGGCAGAGATAGCAGATGGGAAAGTAGTTTCACTAACGCTCGTTTGTCCAAGAGCAGAGATGGGTTTGGAAACTGGAGGCGTGAAGGAAAGAGCCGTGGCCGTGGTTTTGGTGAAAGATTGTTGCTCATCGGATTTCTGCGAAGTCGACTCCATGGAGAAGGTGAAGCTGGGAGCAACAGAAGTTGACGTGACGCTGGAAGAGGGGGTTAAGGTGGTATTTCCTGTAGAAGCGGTAGATTTTAGCCCAAAGACAAATGGCAGGTTCATCATGCCAGCAGAGGTGACAGAACTCTGTTCGCTAACATTTGATAATTGTTCAGACGGAGGCAAGGTAGATGGAAGCGAACAGGCTGTAGCAACCGGTGGTTCAGTTATCACAGCACCAGTGGCGACAGAAGCAGTTCCAGAGAGAACTGTCACTGGTTGCATTTCAATAGATGATAGTGGAGCCACAGATGACACGGCTGCTAAAGATGACACAGGTGGCAGTATAGGCATAGAGGAAGATGCGATGTCGTGGGGGCTAGATATGTTTGTAGTAAAGCCTAAAACAAAGACAACAAACATGTACGATAAAAAACAGAGAGATGACACATTTGCAAGGCTAACAGAATTGGTTGTCATACCAAGAGGGCTAGGCGTTTTCACAGACGAAGTGTTATTAGCAAGATCTACTTCAGCCTTCTCGGTTAGATCAGCAAACATTTGACGAATTTTGGCATGACGAGCCTCTAATGAATCAGCCTGGGTGAGCACAGTAATTGGTGATGCGGCCAACCGTTTGCTCAGAGCATTAGCTCGAGCTCTCGCTTCCAAGCCAGCAATAAACCGCGAAACTGATGCGGGGCGGTTCGAACTAGTTGGATGTCTCCGTTGATGAGGTGACGACAAAAGTTCGCTCGTATTTGTAGCGCTATCAACAAGAAATACAGTTTGGGTCTCACAGTCACGCATGACGCGTCTTTTAGCAGTCGGAGGAGGCGAAATAGGCGATGATTTTTCATCAAGATTTGAAATAGCACTGCTGCACCTCCAATTTGGTGTCCATTTATTCCCACTCACGTCTTCGCCTTCCCTTTCCTCATCTTCTGGCCGTCGGCGCTTCATTCCGAAAGCTATGGCCTCTAGGGCAGCCGAAGAAAGGCGAGACACTTGATCAGGTAGCTTGGAAGAGCTAGGACGAGACGTAGAATTGGGTTGATTCAGCTTTGAATGCGAAATAATCTCGACATCTTGAGGCGGCATCGGTATTGATCTGGCCAATAGAGGACTACTGTTATTTTCCTCACTAGTGCGATAACGCTTTAATGATACATGCTCTGACTCCGGCTCGTCTTCAAGAAAAGCCTCATTAGAGCGTTTTTTGCGTTTTGATTCAAGTACTCGAAGTGCACGTTCCATCATAGAAGAATTAGATTGGCTCAGAAATTCGATAGCATTTCGTGGTCGTGAGGAGACAGGTTTTGGTGCCTGTGGCAGTCGCTGGCGGGCGGGTGAACTGAAATTGAAGAGTGAGGGAGGCAGTTCTCTACGAATAGGGATGTTTTGTCGAGGGGAACGCAAGGACAAACTGGGACTGAGAGTGGCGATATTCCTCGAACCAGGAGAGGAGAAAAAACGGGAGAAGTATGGCGAATTGTTTTCCGCCTTTCGACAAGCATTACTTGAAGATCCGATGGACCCACCGCTTCTTCTAGCAGGGGTAGATGTATTATTTCGGGAGAAAGGAAACATTCTAAAACAAAGCAGCTCTTATCAACGGTTAAGTACAGAACTGTGGTCTCATTAAGGTGTATCTCAATAAATCACATGAGCCACTCAGTAGTAAGCCGAAGCTCATTGAAGGTTAGCAAAGCAAGGATGGAAAATAATACAATGCAACAGCAATAAGAAATACAACAGAAATTAAAAACTTTTGCTATCCGTTAAAAGGTTTAAACGCAAAAAGAAACGAAAGGTAAATATTAGATGAGCGAAACAGCAAGCAACATGCACGCACAGAATAGTGGAAATAAAATTATGCCAACGACGCACAAAACACATTACTTACAGAGCCAAAGCATGGATAAAAACTATAGAATGATCAGATGTTTACAAGAAAGAATTCGCTTATAGAAAGGTACTAAGACACAGACAGTTAAGTCCAGACTAGTTAGCTGAACAACAAAGCATGATTTCAAAAGTTTGCCGAACCCAACGACTCTAGCACAAATTTCCTATCGCGTGGATTGAGCAGACGCAACAATCCTCAAGAAAGCACGGTGTCCTTACTAAATCTACGAAGTATAGTCAGATCGGAAATTTCTGATTCGTTGAATGGTATTTTAACAGTAGCATCAATAAGGCAGCAAGTACTAATTAAAAAACAAGATTAAAGATGTTAAGACAAAAAAGGTATTAAATTTGTTACATTTAGAAACAAAACAAAATTGAATTTTTAAAATATGTTTATAAAATAGGATTAAGTATGATGTCTTACAATTGAAGAAATCATTCAGTATTAAAAGACAAGTTTTTTTGCGCATACATCTATAAAAGCATTAAATAAAATTAAATTCAGTATTTTTGGAATTCCAATCGGCTGTGTCAAGGCAGTAAGTGTGGCTGAATACATGCATTCTGAAAAGAACAAAGCAAATGGACCCGAGCATGGCCCAAAGGCCAGCCCACGAGTACAAGGGCCAACCAAATTCTAAAGCAACTGCTATGTGTTAGGTTGTCACATAAAAAACATAACACTGCTCTTCTCTTTTTTTGAGCGACTTTATTGGCGCTTCTCTTGCTACACCTCCCATGCCAGCCATCACAACATATTCGGTGCTACCAAAAAGCATCCATGAGCCAACTGCAGCAGTACACAGTTAGCGTCAGACTGAGAAATTATACTCGGTCTTCTCAGCTGCTTCAATTGGATCTGGAGTTACATTCAGTCTGACCACCAGATTTTGGGTCTCATACATCTGTTGATTTTCAGGTGCTTCCAGGACTTTTCCGGATTGTTTACGGCGGTGTCGCTTCAGTTTTTACTGGTTTACCTGTGGAACATGGGAATAAGGTGAAGCCAAATGCAGGCGTCCGTCTCGACCCATTCATTATGGGGGATTTTGAGGGTTTCCGCCACCGATGCAAATGCGTCTTCCACAACGTAGGTACATGCAACCAACAGTACGTGCTAAGATAGAAGCTGCATTCTGCTGCCATCAGTTTAGCGTTCCGTGGGCTCGAAGCCAAGCCCACTAGTACAAGACCAGACAAATTCTTAAGAGACGGCCTAAGTTTATGTGGTCATATAATCAAAGCACTACAAAAAAACTATGCGCTTCAGATGTCAAATGTAGAGATACCGACTTTAAAGAAAGTGTAGTAACAAAGAGGATTCTCAATCCCGATTTTCGCAAAGGAATTGGCCTTTAAATTTAATGTTATGGCATTTCCTTTTTTAAGGCACTCAGTCAAGTTAATCGAAATAGTGGGGAAGCACGCTATAGCGTCCCAAGACTTTCCAATGTGGCCTGAGCATGGCCCGAGGGCCAGCCCACACAAGAAGAGGTCAGATATTAGCGGTTACTTTATTTGCTGTTTTGCTCTTTACTGCATTCGGACTCAATCCTCACCTGTGATTGGTCATGCATATTTAAGCAATTCATACGTATTACAATTAGCATATGCATTTCGCCATAAACAATAGTATATGATTCTATCAAATTCATATAAGCCAAGCACTATGCTAAATGCTACACTGGTTATCAGTACCTTATGACGACAATTTACGCACAATATTTAATATTCCATTGTATCTTAGGTTTATATGACTACCTGTGTTGGTGGATACTACTTTGGCTTCCATCTTGCCCTTGATCGCGTGGACGGGCCTACAGGCCAATCTAAAACCAATCACTACGCTTCCTCGTTAACATATATTCAACCCCGCCTAATGCCATACAACCCAGCGGAAAGTCCCAAATTGATGCAAAACTAATTTGTGTGCTAGTCAAAACATCTATTAGTCGATTAGTTACCGAATCCACGCCTTCAAAACGACTACTGTTATTTTGTGCACCAAGTGAGCATGAGAAATTAGGCTAATGGCTTTGCAAAACTTGTACCATAAATGGCACTAAAACTAGTTCATTGCAAAGTTGCGAGTCTTCCTGAACCATAACAGAATGCGTAAAACAAAGCCGAAAACCTATACTCACATAGATGAAGAAGAGGCGAAACGCTGGAATGATCCAGCTGCCAGCCCATTCAAGA